GTGTGTGTGTGTGTGTGTGTGGCATAAAAGCCAAAGAGGATTAAATAGTAGGTCAGTGGAAGCAAGGAGGAGTGGCAGCAGAGAGCATTGAGACTGAGCAAATAAGAGCAACCTACAATGTATGTATACTGTATGTACAATGTATGTATAAAAGTGCCACAATGAAGTTATCATCTTATGCTAAAACAATAAAAACAGAAACACAAAACTCCAAGGAAATAGAAAATGTTAATGTATTCATTTTTAAATGTGTTTACATTTGGGGATGATTTTCTCATTTTTTATATATATATTTTCATATATTATAAAAGCTGAAGAACCAGAAGAAAATCTGTGTAGTTTCACATTATCATTATCATAGAGTATGGGGACTCGAGAGTTAAGTCTGATATTTTTCTCCTCTACCTTAGTGGCTTGATAAAAGTAAGTGGAAGGTTAAATTAATTTATCTGGACGAATGCCTACACATAAGAGAATAAGCCAATGACTCTATTTTATTTTATTCTCTTAGCAGAAGTTTTATATAAAAGACTAAAGTTGAATTTTTAGTGTGTATAAAACATTGCATAAACTTTAAAAGATTTTAAGACAAAAACAAATATTTGTTTTCATAAAAGGAATAGACAGAAGTTCCTGTTCTGCCTGGTCATGCAGCCTCTTAGTTCCAAATAAACACACAGAGGTTTATAACAATTATAAACTGTTTGGCCTATTAGCTCAGGCTTATTTTATTAACTAGCTCTTACAATTTGAATTAACCCATAATTTTTGTCTATGTTAGCCACCTGGTGTGGTGTCTTTTATCAGTGAGGCATTCTTATCTTGCTTCCTGTGTGTCTGTCTGGTGAATGACTCTTCCTTTCCTCTTCCTAGAATTCTCCTAGTCTGTCTCCCTGCCTATAGTTCCTGCCTGGCTACTGGCCAATCGGCACTTTATTAAATCAATACAAGTGACAAATCTTTACAGGGTACAAGAGCATTATCCCACAGTAAAAAGGCATTAATAAATCCTTCATAAAATATCTCCAAGAAGAAACTAACTCCCCCAACTTGTCCTCTGACATCCACGTTGGCCCTCATACAAACACACACAATATATGTACATACGCATATACATATATACATACACAAAATAAATAAATGTAAAACTTTTTAATATTAAAAATAGGAATTTTAAAGCAAAACCTTTCAAGCTGCTTAAAGACTTTAACAATAGTATGTAGTGGAAAATGTGATTTTTTTGTTTTGGAGGGTGAAGTACTTTGAAATACTCATAATTAGACTGAAGTTTTCTAGTGACATAATCATATATCAAGTTGGAAAGAACATACTATCAAGTTAAAATGTATGTTTTTTTTCTTTTCCAGTACTGAGGACTCAACAGAGATTCCTACGTGCAAGTCAATCCCTCTACCACCGAGCCACACTCTTCCCCTAGCCCTTTCTTACTATTGAAGTCAGAGTCTTGATAATTTGCACAGACTACCCTTGAGTTCACTCTGTATCCAGAAAGACTCTGCAATCCTCCTGCCTCAGCCTCTCAAACAGTTGAGACTTTAAGCTTATGTTTTGAGGCTAGCTTTAGGAACCCTAGGCAAGCCAGTTGTGGTGATGTATGTTTGTAATCCGAGCCATTTCAGAGCCTGAGGCAGGACTACAAGCTCAAGCCTAGCCTAGGCAAATTAGTGTGACCCTATTACAAAAAAACCCGAAAAGGTCTAGGGGTTTGAATAAATAGTAGAATGCTTGTATAGCATGTACAAGACTCTAGGTTTGCCTCCTCAGTATCACACACAAAAAACAAACAAAAACTCAAAGAAACAAACATTTCCCAAACCCACTGCCAATAAGAAAAAAAAAACAGTCAGAAAATAACCACATTGGTATTACTTAATGGATTTTTAGTACTTTTAAAATCATACCAACAAATGGATGGAAATAGAAAACACTATCCTGAGTGAGGTAAGCCAGACCCAAAAAGAGGAACATGGGATGTACTCACTCATATTTGGTTTCTAGCCATAAATAAAGGACATTGAGCCTATAATTCGGGTTCTTAGAGAAGCTAAATAAGAAGGAGAACCCAAAGAAAAACATATAGGCATCCTCCTGAATATTAACCTTCATCAGGCGATGAAAGGAGACAGAGACAGAGACCCACATTGGAGCACCGGACTGAAATCTCAAGGTCCAAATCAGGAGCAGAAGGAGAGAGAGCACGAGCAAGGAACTCAGGACCGCGAGGGGTGCACCCACACACTGAGACAATGGGGATGTTCTATCGGGAACTCACCAAGGCCAGCTGGCCTGGGTCTGAAAAAGCCTGGGTTAAAACCGGTCTCGCTGAATATAGCAGACAATGAGGACTACTGAGACCTCAAGAACAATGGCAATGGGTTTTTGATCCTACTGCATGTACTGGCTTTGTGGGAGCCTAGGCAGTTTGGATGCTCACCTTACTAGACCTGGATGGAGGTGGGTGGTCCTTGGACTTCCCACAGGGCAGGGAACCCTGATTGCTCTTTGGGCTGACGAGGGAGGGGAAGTTGATTGGGGGAGGGGGGGGGAAAGGGGAGGCGGCGGTGGGGAAGAGACAGAAATCTTTAATAAATAAATAAAAAAAATCATACCAACAAGCTTGAACTGAATCCCTTTAAGAAATGATAAATGATCAGGGTGGCACATGAATGATGGTGGCGCACGCCTTTAACCCAAGCACTTGGGAGGCAGAGGCAGGCAGATCTCTGAGTTCAAAGCCAGCCTGGTTTACAGACTGAGTTCCAGGACAGTCAGGGCTACACAGAGAGACCCTGTCTTGAAAAACAAAAACAAAACAATATCAAAAAGAAACAAAGAAAGAAATTCAATGAATGAAAGGAACCAGTTCAACACTTAAAAGAATAAGCTAGACTATTTTTTTTTTTAGTTCACTCTGATGCAGATAGAAACACTAATACCCGGGGTGGTATTTTTGCTTTATGATGTTAATATATAAAATACTGGCAGGACTTCTGATTCTTAGCTTCCTTCTCTCCTAACGGACTAAATTACAGAAAACTATCTAAGGCTGGAAAACAAATTTGCAGCTAAATACTGATGAACGAGTCTCTTGAGAACACTCATGTTTCCAATTACTAGAACTGAGTAGCTACAAACAGGGCCCAGAGCCTGAAAATGAACAAAGAGATGAACATATTTTATGCACTCTAAGATGCCATCCAGTTCAAGCTGTATTATTTTAGGCACTACTAAGAAAGAAAACACACTGTTAAAAAAATGACAGACTACGGATGGCAAGAAGAGTCTTGATTTGTAGACATTAAAACCTAGGAAGTGTGCCACTTGGGACTCGATGAAACGGGAGCCTTCCCGAAGCCTGGCTGACATGATGCATAATGCAAACAGGACAAGCTCCACCAGCATTCACTCCTTTAGCTGGGGTGATGTAACTGGCATATCATGTTCCAGCAATATTTCAGTTATGCACGACTAACAGAGCCCTACCTTTGAGAGTTCTCGGGTTGCGATCGGGTTGCTATGGTATTTCTATACAGCTCAACACTCGCCCTAAAATGATGGTCCAGAACTTACATCCCGCTCTCCAGTGTGGGCCGATAATGGCTGTGATACAGTTGCCATGATCAATATTTACCTCATTTAGCAGGTCTCAGTGCTACTGAGTCACTTGCTGTGGATGACGCCAGTTAGCCATCAGAGTGCTGAAAGGCAGTGCCAACAAACACGTTTCTCCTCATACAGGACTA